TCACCGCTTTTGGTAGCTTTCTTGGTCTTTGTTGCTTTTTGTTGCTTACCTTAGGACCGAGTGCGGCAGCCGCCGTCGACGAGGCCTATCCACGCAAAAAAAAAGGTCTTGCTTTGCGATTTTGCCTGTTGCCACCGCGGAAGAAAGGCACCACCCACAACTAAACCAGCAGACAGCGACCAGAAAAGCGTTCAGTTCACCCGAACTCCAATCAGGCTGGAAATCTGACTCTGGGTTGGAGTTGGGTTCAAGTTAACCCCAACCCCAACCAGAGGTTTCTGGATTAGGTTCACTCCAACGTCTACCTGAAGCTTGGTTCTGGCAAATTCCAACCCCAACCCAACTCTTCGTGGTGGCAGGGGTAATGCGTCAAGCACGAACTTGGTGATGTGACTGACACAGTGAACGCTCGGCGTGGTCACTAGACGTCACCAGCAGAATCCACTAGAACACTTTTCTTAAGGCGTTTTCGTATGGCTTTCTCCTCCTTGTGTGGACGGAGGCTTTGTTTTCATGTCTTCGCGGCCAACTCCAACCTGCGGACCGGAGTTGGGGTTCGGGTGAACTCCAACTCAACCTACAAACCAGGGTTGGGGTTCGGGTTAGCTACAACTTGCCTGCGGACCGGGGTTGGGGTTCGGGTTTCTCAACTCCAACCTGCGGACCGGGGTTTGGTTTAGTGTTTCTGGTTTCGGCTCAGGTTCAGTTCACAGGGGCTTTGTCTTGCTTAGGTTTACCGAGCTTCGGGTTCAGGATGATTTGGGTATGCAAGGTTTTTGGAGTTTGGGGATATCGGGTTTGGTGATTTGGGGTTGATAGCAGGGAGGACTTGTGGTGAAGAATTCAGGAAGGAAGACAGTCGTAACAACAACCATACATCATACTTTTAATGCTCAGTCGTGCGAATAAATATGCAGAAGAATCAGATGGGTAGTTCTCTAAATAGGGTCCATTTGGAGCTCGGGTTAACTCCACCACAACCCGCGTGTTCGGGTTGGGGTCAACCCGAACCCCAACTCCGGTTTGCGGGTTGGGGTTGGGGTTGTCCCGAACCCCAAACCCGGTCCGCAGGTTGGGGTTGAGGTTGACCCGAACCCCAACCCCGGTCCTCAACCCCGGTCCTTCGGGTTCACCTCAACCCCAACCTGGGCTTCCAGTCTGCAAGGCCATAAGGGTGCAAAGATCCACCCTCACAGTAAGTAAATGTTTTTTTTTGCATTGCGTCTGTTTCGTCTTGCCTTAAAACCAAATTTAGACCAAGTTGGCCCTCGAAAGAAAGGGCTTGCTCTTTCTTAAAGGGCCAATGTTGGAATCTAAAATTGGAACTACAGAGCACACATTTCTTGTAGTGTTTTTAGAAAGAAACATTAGCAAGGCTCGAAAGTCTGTCAATCGCAAAATTCGATTTGTAAGAACAAGAAAACCACTGGAGACGATGTCTAAAATCACAGACCTGTAACTGCACAGTGGGTTTTTTAGATCTTGCCAAGACATCACAAAAACAACATCACATGCCCTGGACAAGTTTTTTGACCGTATATCAGAAACTATGAAGTTCCGCCGAAGTTCTAAAAAAAGGTGTTGAACACCAGTGTTTAAACTGAGGGCCCGGGTTCGAATTCGAACCCGGAATTCCGGGTTCGAACACTTTTGGTGGCCATAAAACACGAATCTGAACCTGACATCTAAACAGACTTGCCGTGGACTGCTACGCTTTGCACAAGTAAGGTCTGTGCAAAAGGCAAGCGGCTTGCTTGGTTTGCCGCTCATTTCCCAACGCATTCGGTGTGAAGGTTACTGTTAAAACGGCTGGCCAACCAAGCATTGAAAACGGTGTGAATGTAAGCAATTTGATTCCAGTGTCCTTTACAGTCTGTAATATAGTTTGATGCATTGTTTCGTCGGAACTCCTAAGAATCTTTTCGTCTTCTGGCGGAATGTGCGGGAGGTGCCTTTGCGGGGAACTCAAATGCAAAGACTTAAGAATGTGGTGCAAAAGAAGAAAAAAACGCGACATGCAAGAACTCAGGCGCGTCGGAGTACCGCGTCCAACACACTGCATGCTTTGATTTTGGTCGGTTTTTACAAGATTATGCTTGTACAAGCAGACGGTGCAGCAGCCACAGCTAGTCTTTTGTCTGGAAAGATGCCTATGCGTCGTTCGCGGGTTTGCCAAAAGTGGCGGTCCCATTTTGGACCAGAAGTTCGAATGTCGGCTTGGGGCAGAATGTTGGTCTTAATTGCTTTTGAGTTGTGGAATATGGTTGCGGGAAGAACTCTACCATGGCAGGCTGGCATGAAGCTTTCCAACGAAGGGGATTTTGAAGGCTCAGCCCCAAGCCCGTTTTGCTGGAATCTTCTACGCAGTTCGAAAAGCTTATCGAGTCTGTTGGAAAGTCCTGGCATGGACATGGCATTAGCTCCAGGATGTGTCTTGGGACTTGTGTATCGGCTTGTCCCATGAGGGACCAGAACAGGTGCGTGTGAGACAAAAACATGCGTTCCAGCAGCCTTCACCCTGTCTGTACAACCTCATGCAGCCTATATTTGTGATTTTCATGGAGCCCGGCGTCACAGAGTGTTGGCATGTGTTGAATGCTCGTGCATCGCGTTGTGTGCAAGCTGCCTGCCCGGAAGGGTGCCACAGCAGCAGAAGAATGAAGAAGTATGAAGCGTTTCCAACAAAGGAGATTTGAAGGCCAAGCTTCAAGCCCAGACTCTTCTAAGCGTGTTGGAAAGCCGAATGTCCTGGCATGGACACGGCATTGGCATAAGTTCCGTGGATGTGAGTCCGGGATGTGTCTGGGGACTTGTGTATTCGCTGTCCCAGCAGCGCCCGCAAGCCTGTGCGGAAGATGGGTCTTCGCATGAGATTTACAAAGAGAAAGCCCATGCAGTGATTTGACGGTTAATACCCACGACGCATAAGCATTGGTTTCAGAGGAGCTCCATATTGCCAAATTATTTCAGTATGACTTGAGTGCTCCGCACGTTGCGTGCAGCTGCCAGCACATCGGTGCAGACGGCTCAAGGTCCTTCGACTACGGTGCCAATATAGCCGTTACGTCGGACCTCCACTTCCTTAGGCTCATAACATCGTGCTTCCCGTGTCTAAATCGACCTTGGAGTTGGACTACGCATGATTTGGGGGAAAAGGCTTTTGCAATGAGGCTTGAAGTTTAAGATTTGTGCAGTCCGGTTTGGAACTTGAAGCTTGTGTGATACCTGTAGCACCTTATCGCAGAGAAGATGCATGTTCGCTTTCTTTTCGGGTGCATTCCCCCTCCCTACTATTCTTTCTCCTGCCGACTCATTTCTAAAGGGAGATGCCGCAAGACTGCAGCCGTTCCGGTTCCGGAGCCCGTGGCCCGGAAAGGAACAAAGTGGAAGGTTTGTTGTACTTGAGCATTGCACAATGTTGCACATACCAAGCCGAAAAGTGGATCACTCCCCGAGGACTCCTGCCTTCAGTGCCTCGAGTTCATGATTTTAGATTTTGGAACTATCGGTGTGGTTCCATTTTTTCCCAGCCTCTTCCGCATGACAAATGGTGCGTTTAGCATGTCATTTCATCGGCGCCCGGTTTCTGTGATGACCGTTTTAGCCCGGAGGTTTAGGACAGGTCGGCCCCTGTAATGCCTAAGAGCCAATTCATGCCTGCCTTTCAGGATTTGCAGGACGTTCCTTGGCTTTGCGCCGCTTTGTTCCCAGCGCCCAGATTTCGCCCGCCTCCGAGCCCAGGAGCCCCTGCAGGAGCCCTGAAGTCTAAGCAACGTGAACCGTCTCAAGGGTGGCAGCAGCTGACTAGCAGACTTGCATGCGAATCGGCCCAGGATCCTCAGGTATCCTCAGGTTTGAAGCATCCAAACCCTGAGGCAAGCAAGCCTGTAAACGACAAAACCGACGATTTGTTGAACCCATGGGCAGTGGCGCAAGCCACAAGGCGAGTGATGCTGATTCGGCTGAGTCAAAGCCAGGGCCAGCACAGGTTGGAGAGGAGCTCGAAAGCGGTTGCGTCATCCACGAAGTTGCAGACAGGGCCATCACAGTTCAGCAGTTGCAGGATCTTACAAGTTGTATCGCGACCAAGCTGAAAGAAGAAGGATGGACAACCACAGATCCGTCAGTCGCAAAGCCAGTGAAATTGAAGAAGGGAACCGTGAACCTGTACGATGTCGTGGCCAAATTGGTGAAGCCTGCCACAGAGAAACGACGCTGCTCCTACGTGGAGTTGGTCGCTACAGGGCCTCAGACAACCCGATGGTTCGTTTCTCACTGGTGGGGCGAACCAGTTTTTCATTTTGTGGCTTGCGTGGTGAAGCACAGCGAGCAAAGACGGCTCGGGTATGCGTCAACTTACTGGGTCTGTGCATATGCAAATAACCAGTGGGAGTTGGCCTATGACGTCGCAGCGAATCCAGCGGAGTCGTCTTTTCGACGAGCCCTCGATGTTGCCGAAGGAACATTGTCGATATTAGATGATGCAGCCAGGGCCTACGAGAGGGTGTGGTGCGAGTACGAGGTGTTCGTAACTCTTGAGAAGGCAAAAACGACAGCGCATCTGTTTGATATTTACACGTATCACAAGCATCAACCGCGGGGTATCACGGACGGCATCACAGAAGGAGACCGTCGGGGGGCAAGCTGGTGGTGGGAAGATCGGAAGTGGTCCCGAGAGAAGAACTTTCCGGTAGAGTTGGCTGAAGCAGCAATGCAGGCACAGGTGCAGCTGGCAATGGCGAGCGTGGATGCGGACCGCATCCATATTCTGAACTCCATCGTTGGTGCACACGACTTGAATGCCGTTCCACCATTGGAGCACGAACGGTACGATGTCGTCAACACCACGTTACATGCTCGGTTTGCTCTGGCAGCCCTGAAGCTCATGGTGGAAGCCAGGCGGTCGCTCCACAGATATGTGCAGGTGATTTCCAACTCGCAGGTCACCCGCATCAACTTGTCATTCAGGCCGCTTTCGTGTTTCTGTAGCGACCGCATCAGCCCTTAACCTAGAACAGCCCTAAGCCCCAAACCCTGGCATTCTAATCCCCAATCCTCGGCCCCGTGCAGGTCCGACCAAGTCCTGTCTGATGCGACCCTGCAGCAGCTAGCCGCAGCACTTCCGGCGACTTTGAAAGACCTGTGCCTGAATCTGGGCTCTTCTTCAGTGAAGCGTGTTTTTTTGATAAGCATTTGTTAAGAACCGCAAAAATATGACTGCAGCTTGTACGGGATACGGTCGTGTATGGTGGTGCTGTACTGGGTTCTTGTTGAAGAGCTATCTTGGGAACCGAGAGCCCAGGAATATGGTGGACTGCACACTCTTGACAGATCAGGGCATCCAGGTGGCGACCCTACACCCTAAACCCTGAAACC